ATTTCTACTACATTATCATCCTCATCTCCTCCCATATTCTATTTTATCTTTATAATAATTAGTCTTCTTTTATAGAATACTTTATTTTCTATTTTTATTATTTATTTTCTTATAATTTAAATAATTAATATTATTTTAACATTTATTTTTATGATTTTTACTATAATAAATCAAATAAAATGGTTCGATAATATCAATTAATTAAAATCATCACATCAAAAGTTTAGATAACTACATTAAAATTATTAATTTTAAAAATATAAAATATATTTTAAAAAAATACTAAAATTATAGATTGGAAAGAAAATAGAATAAACAAATATTTTTTACTTTATATTATATTTAAGTGTGTGCACAAATGTTGACCTTCTTAACTATAAAGAAACAGTAAAAAAATATAAAGATAGAATTTGAAGAAGTGAATTTTGAACATAAAGACTATTTTTATATAAATTTATTCTAGTATATCAATTAACAATAATAATACATAAAATTTAAAAACTAAACTAAAAAAAGAGTAAGTTTAAATTTATAAAAAAATACATTACTAAAAGTATCATATTATGTTAAGAATTTCATTATTTTCGTTAATTATAAATTTAAATGTGTTTCATAAATAAAATTATAAATTTAAATATATTTACACTTTTGATCCATCATAAATAAAAATAAATAGTCTCTTATAAATGTTGTTATATTTTAATCCATCATTAAATTTGTTTAATATTATTTAAGACAAGTATTTAAATTTATTTTTATGTATTTTTTAACTTCAAATTTATTTTTTATTTTTATTATTTATTTTATTATAATTTAAAGTAATTAATATTATTTTAACATTTACTTTGATGATTTTTACTATAACAAATAAAATAAAATTATTTAATAATATCAATTAATTAGAATCATCACATCAAAGATTTAGATGACTAGATTAAAATTATTAATTTTAAAAAATATAAATATATTTAAAATAAAAATAATAAAATTATAGGTTGAGAAAAAAAAAACTAGAATGAACAAATATTCTTCATTTATAATATATTTAAGTGTGTGTACCAATCTTGATCTTCATAACTATAAAAAAATAGTTAAGAAATTTGAAAATAAATGAATTTTATAGATAATTTTTTTTATAAATTCAAGTACTCATATCGAAAAGAAATGACATGATAGAAGAAAAAATAAATTTGATGACTTATCATATTATTAAAAATTTGGATAAAATAATTATGTATAATACTTTTTTAGTATATAATGTTTTTAAATTTGCTAATAGAGAAAAAGTTTCAGAATTCAAAATGTTAAATATTTTTAAATATTCAAAATTTACATTATAAGAAAAAAACAATTAATCCAAAAATATAATAATGATAAAAATATTATAAAAAAGAGTTCAAAAATATATTATAATATTTTTCATTTTTAGTTTAATTATATTTTTAATTCTCAAAGTAGAAAAATATATTGTAATTATTTTAATTTAATAAAATATAATTTAAATTTTAATACTAAAATTAAGAGATTAAATAATAATAAATTTAATTAATTAAATTTAGTATTTAGAAACTAAAATTATAGTTTCTCTGTTTTAAAAAATTAAAATAAATATTTAAAAATAAAAATAAAAACTAATATTATCTTAAATTTATAAAAAGTATAATTAAATCTTCATTTTCTTATCCAATTTTAGAAATTTTTTAATAAAAATCCAATATATTAAAAAGTTGAAATTTTAAAAAGGTACAGCCTTAACTTACATTGACTATTTTTTTGAAAAAGTTGACAAGAAAAACTGGGCTTTGAAAAAATAAAATTAATAATTTTGAAGTTATTTCAATGATAAAGTTTCTAAATGTAATCTATGCATTTATTGAAAAAAATTAGAGATGTGTTGAATATAGATTTAAATATATTTTTAATTTATTTAAATATGATTTATTTTTAGTATTTATAAAATGAATTAGTTTTAAATTTTTAACTTTTCTAGTAGTCTATTTTTAACCTTTGTTATTAATTTTGTTAAAAATGAAAAATATTAATTAGTATATTTAAAGTAAAAAAATATTTCAACTAAAAATAAATATATTTTTATAAATAATTTAATTAAATAATATATTTATTATCTAATGTATATCAATTATATTTTGATATACATTTTTTTGTAGTATATCAATTATATGAAAACAATCATGGTTAAGCAATTAATAATAATAAAGCAATAAATTTAAAAACTAGATTAAAAATAAAATATTATAAAATAAAATTGTAATAATTTGATTGATATTGTAATTTTTTTTAATTAATTAAGTTAATGAATAATTAAAATGTGATAATTTGATGTGTCCAATTTTTTTAATATAAATTTTTAAAATATAATTTAATTTCAATTGAAATTTTCAATTGAAAAATATATTCAAGAACATTTGTTATTAAATTTTTCTTAAACATTGTATTGAATAGTTAATATCACTTCGGTCTTAATTTATTATAATTTAAATTTTTAATAAATTTTATTTATTTTTAATAATATTTTTATTTTAGTAATTTAAAATTAAAGTTAATCTTTATTTTGTTAATATTGAGACCAAAGTTTATTTTTAAATTATATTTTAAAAAATAAATTATTTTAAAAAAATAAATTACTTTTAAAAAATAAATTACTTTTAAAAAATAAATTACTTTTAAAAATAAAATTTTAAAAAATATACTAAAACAATTAAAGTATATTTATAAAAAAAATTAAATATAATAAAAAAAATAATGTCCATTAGCGACCGATTTCAATTCGGTCAATATTTCAATTTGTGTCGTTAAATCAGTTGCTAAATAATTTTTTTATTTTAATATAAAATAGCCACCGATTTAGCGACCAAAATTTTATAACGCAAACTATTGGTCGCTAAATAAAAAATGAAACTAAATCATATTTCGGTGGCAAAATCGGTCACTAAATTGCGATCGAATTAAATCGGTCGTTAATAATGACTAAATTAAATCGATCGCTAATTACGACCAAATTAAATTTATCGTTAATTGTGACCGAATTAAATCAGTCGTTTAATCCATCTAATCCAGTCACTAATTACGACAAAAAAATTTGGTCGCTAAACGTGTTCTTTTTTTAGTGTACTAATATTGTGATTAAGAATATTGTTTAGTCTGACACTACCTAGAAAACTCCGACTATTAGAATTTATAGTTAGTATATTATAAATAAAATTATTAATGGATAATAATAAATAAAAAATCAATTTTAAGTTTTAGTAATTAGGCATAAGGTTTTAGTCCACCCAGACATTGAGACAAACACAACATATTTTAGAAAAACTACTTAGATCCATTATATAAGAATATTACTTATCAATTATTCAATGCAAGGTGTTATAAATTATTAAATGGAAGCTGTTACTGGAATATTAAAGAGATAACTACTGACATAAAAAAGTAAGGAGATGATTGGCTTGATGTCAGAAAACATGTATTTGGTTTGAGAAAACATGTATTTGGTTTGAGAAAAATGTCACCTAGAGGAAAAGAATGAAAATAGAACATGAAATAAAATAATATTAAATGGTTTTCAAAATAAAGAATTTTTTTCTTAAACTAAACGAAAATTTCTTCCTACTTTTATGTTGTTTCTTCACTTGAAAAGTTAAGATAATAATAAATCCACAAAAAGTGTTTCATTTGTTTAATAAGTTAAATTAGCTACACTTTGAAAGATAAAAATATGTACAAAATGTGTTTTCTGTAAATTCTATAAAAATTTGATAAAGTTCTTTTTCCTGTTATTTAATTAGGTAGAAAAAAATGTAAAAGGGACTCGTTAAATAATATTTAAACAAATTTAAGTATGATTTTAAAAACACTTTTTTTTTGGTAATTTTCCTTGTATGATTTTTACCTTGGGTGAAGAAAATAATATTCAATCTAAATACAATTTATCAACAATTCAATCTTAAGAAATAAACTTCGTTACTCCTGTCTTTTCAATACTTATTAGGAGGTATGTGTAAATATTTTATGAAATATAAATAACCAAAAATAGATTTTTTTTTATCAAAACTAATATTGTTATTTTATTTTTATCTATTTTTCTTACACGAAATATTTAATTTTAAATTGCAACTAAAAATAAGAAGTAAACTAAATCATTTAATAAATTTAAATATTATTATACAATTAGAGTTAATTAACAACTAACTAATAAAATAAATGTATTTTCCAAAAATTAATTATATTTTACTTAAAAAAGCATAATAATAAATTTATATTATAATCTTTAGCAAAAATCATGTCATTTATTAAATACAAGAAAAAATAAATTATCTACTAGACCATTTTTCTATTATAAGTATTTAACAAAATATTCGTAAAAAAATGTTTTATAAATTTTTTTTGTTATAATAACAAAATTAATGAAAATGGATCCAAACTAATAGCAACGTAAAAAAAATTATTTATAGGGATTAAAATAAAAAAATAGATTAAAAATAAAAATAAAATATTTATAGCTACTAAACCCAAATATAACATACTGATAAATGATATAGACAGAAACTACGCAATTACGAGGAGGAAAAATATAGTGATATATTTGTTAAAACATATTTAAGTGATGTACTAAAATTAACTGATAATTGTTACCCATCTTAAATATATTTATACTAACTCTATTTCTAATAATTTGTTTCAAAAATATTAAATCAATTACTTTTATCATTAACATAATTTACTAATTTTTTAATCATATTCAAAAACATAATTATTGTTATGAATATATAGTTCACTAGAATGAAACTGATTCTCTTTCAAAATTGGGGGCAACTTTTAACAATAATGGGTGGGACTTTTGACCATTTGTGGAAGAACCGCAGTTAGTGGAGGAATCTTACTCGATATGATAGTGATAGCACCTGCCTATGCCACAATTACTTTTTCATTTTCTATAATTTTCTCCTCAATTTGCCCCTTCAACAACTTTGCTTCCAATTGCAATGGCTTCTTCATCTCGGCTCATCAAGACTTATGATGTCTTTGTGAGCTTCTGTGGTGAAGACACGCGCAACAGCTTTACTGGTTTTCTCTTTCAAGCTCTCTGCAGAAAAGGCATCCATGCCTTCAAAGATGATGATGATCTCAAGAAAGGCGAATCCATTGCCCCTGAGTTGCTACAAGCCATTCAAGGGTCTCGCCTTTTCCTCACTGTCTTCTCAAAAAACTATGCTTCCTCTACTTGGTGCTTGCGTGAACTAGCAGAGATCTGTAACTGCGTTGAAACGTCGCCAAGGCGTGTTATACCTATATTTTATGACGTTGATCCTTCAGAGGTGCGAAAACAGAGTGGCTTTTATGAGAGAGCGTTTGCAGAACACAAAGAAAGATTCAAAGAAGATAAAGAGAAGGTGGAGGAAGTGCAGAGATGGAGAAAAGCGCTCACACATGTGGCCAATCTCTCTGGTTGGGATATAAGAAACAAGTAATCCCTTCTCATTTCTTAACAGATCTTAATCTTAATTTATTACACATGCGCCGAGCCATAGCATATGCATTTATTTAATGATTTCATACTCATGTATTTTTCTCATATTTATTGTCCCTGATCTAAACTGGATTTGAGAGAGGACGAAGAGTTAAGATGCAAATTAGGTCTCTATATATCTCTATCTAATGCCAATATGCAGATCTGGACCGCTCAGTCTGGAATCAATTAGAAAAAAATTATATAATAATAATTAAAAAGTTAAAATATTTATTTAAAATTATGTAATTTGGTATTTTAAATGTTTGAACTCATTTATATTGAATTAAAACTAAAGTTTTCAGTTATGTTTTTTTAATATAAATTATCATATTATCTACAAGAATTTCATCATCCATTATATTTCATAGTCTTATTTTAATAATCTTCATTATTTCAATTGTAACTATAGAAACAAGAAGAGTTAAAATAAAACGAATTAAACAATTTATTATGTAAAATGTATGTGACTTCCCTGTTTTTGTCAAAGATTGATATAATTCAAGCATGTAGACAAATTTTTCAAATCTGGATGGTTAGGAGCATCTAATATAAAATAATGAAGTTGATATTTTAAATTAATCTTCTCTTCATTTGAAAGTATGATCTATAAAAACAATTTAATACTAATCAATCAATATTACCGTTAATAAGAGAATATAAAAAGATGAGAGAAAATGATAAACTACTCTTAATATTTCTTATTTAATATATTCTTTAGAAATTAAAGAAACAATTAGATACTAATAAAATGTTACTGTTAATGAGAGAGTATCAAAAAGTAAGAGAAGATGAAAATGTCATATCATAAAATTATTTTTAATCTTTCTTATTTAATTTATTCCTTGAGTTTTTCTTCTTTATGATATATTTAATATTGGGGACCAAAATCATAAGTATACAAGTAAGTTACAAAACTTAACTAGTATGAAGATCCATCAGTGCCAATATATGTAACAAAGGAAAAAATCAAATAGCAAAAATACCTTTATATTAACTCCATATAAGTGAAGAAATGATTCTAGGAACTCCCTCTTTAGCATTAATATACCCCTTTGAAGTATCAAAAACGGAATAAAACACAAAAACCTTCTATTTGAATTTATCAAACCTGTAAAAGATAAGGAAATAAAACTAGTAACCGAAGTAACTGAAAGAAATTTTTTTATTAAAAATAGAAGCTAAAACAAACCATATAACCAATTTAAAACAAGAAATCAAATACAAAAGAAGAACAATTAAATTATCCCAAAACTATAAAAGAATTTAAACAAATTGAACAAGATATTATAAAAGAAATATGTGCAGAAGTTTCAAATGCCTTATGGAATAGGAACTCGTTTGAAATAGAATTACTATATGAAAAAGGATTCTCTGAAAAAGATATCCCTACAAAAGCCACCGGTACAACTAAATAAAGAAACCTTAGAATATTGTAGAAAAGAAATAAGTTTCTTATTAGAAAAAAAATTGATAAGACCTAGTAAATCCCCATGGAGTTGGGTTGCATTCTATATGCAAAACGCTTCGGAAATAGAAAGAGGAGAACCTAGGATGGTAATTAATTATAAGCCTTTAAACAAAGTCTTAAAATGGATTAGGTATATCCTTTACCTAATAAAAATGAGTTAATAAGTAGAATTTATAATGCCACAATATTTTCGAAATTTGACATGAAAAGTGGATATTACTAAATAAAATTAAAGGAAAGACAAATATAAGACTGCTTTTATCGTACCTTTTGGGCAATACAAACGTAATGCCTATGGGATTAAAAATGTACCTTCAAAATTCCAGAAAATAATGAATGACATACTAAATCCCTATTCAAAATTTGCATTAGTATATATAGATGATGTATTAATATTTTCATAATCCATTGAACAACATCAAAAACATTTAAAAATATTTAAAAACCTTATAAAAATAAATGGATTGGTAATATCCCAAAAGAAAATAAAAATAGCCCAAACCAAAATAAGATTTCTAGGACATGAAATAATCCAAGGAATAATAACTCCAATAAAACGAAGTATTGAGTTCTCAGAAAAATTTCCCAACGAAATAAAAGATAAACAACAACTATAGAGGTTTTTGGGATGCCCGAATTATGTAACGAATTTTATGCCTAATATCAGAATACTATGTAAACATCTCTTTAATAGACTTAGAAAAAACCCAAAACCATAGACCCCAGAAATGACTAAAATAGTAATAGAAATTAAGACATTGGTTAAGACATTACCCTACCTAGGAATACTAAATCCAAAAGCCCAAGTAATAGTAGAAATCGATGCATTCAATTTAGGATATGGAGGAATATTAAAACAGAAATTAGAAAATAACTCGAGCAAATAATAAGATATCATTCGAGAATATGGAATAATACCCAAAAGAATTATAACACTATAAAAAAGGAAATTTTAAGCATAGTTTTGAATATTAAAAAAATTTCAATATGATTTAATAAATAATTTTTTTTATTAAGAGTAGATTGCAAATCTGCTAAAGAAGTTTTAGAAAAAGATGTAGAAAACATAATTTTTAAACAAATATTCGTCAGATGACAAAGTCTATTATCCTGTTTTGAATTTGAAATAGAATTTATTAAAGGAAAAGAAAATTCGATACTTAATTTTCTAACAAGAGAATTTTTGCAAGGTCACACCCATGGCAACCCCTCTAAAAGCCCATCTTCGACTGAAAAAACTAAAACAGAAAAAAGGTTCAAAGTCCTCTACCCTATCCTTAGATGACTTTGCCCCTCCTACTCTAAAATCATGGCCACCCGAAAACTTCCCACCTCGATAACTACCCAACCAAATAGATTCATCATCCTAACTCAAAAAACCCGTCAACAACCTCCAACTAAAAAACCTCCAAAAAGGAATTTCATATTAAAGAAGGATGCCAGAAAATTATTACCCTAGAAGAAGAATGGAACCCGAAGATACTCGTGGAATACTTAAGAAACTAGCTCCTCCAGGATAGAGTTGGATTCCTAAACTATAAAATTTTAAAAAGAATAAAAGATTCTACCAGTTCATCCTAATAGACACTTGGATCTACAGAAATAACTCTTATCCCTAATGAAAATTATCCATCTATTATTAGTTACTCAAAATTACGAATCATTAGAATCCTCTTATACCAAGAATGGAATCAACATTCCTTCACCGATAAGAGCTTTTCGAGACCCTTTGATACCCCTTCCTATGATTACCTGTGATCACCAAGAAGCCTAGAACAAAATATTACTTGATACTAATCCTAGGCATTCCTGGTATATATGCTTCAAAATAGAATTACCTAACACCATACCCAACCTGGTTTGTCGACTGGTTCCATCAAATAGGTCTAACCCAATCAATAATTCCGAAAAAATCATGAAGATTTACCAAAAATATAAAAGTCTCACCCCCCCCATTATCCTCCACACCTACGAATTATAAAAAATTTTCATCCATGGGAATAAGCTGGCTTTTCACCCACATTCCCGAAATACACCAACACGAGGAAAAAACCTACCCCAAAACCCTTTGCTTAAAGACCAAGGTCTTTTGGTGGAAAAAATTTAAAACCCAATATGTAGAAGAAAAATTTGAAAACTGGAAGAAAATGAGTCTCATTACACAAAAGCCCAATCCGAAAAGAAATCTCATCCACAGAAGAAAAAGGAAAAAGGAATAATAGATTTATCCAAAATTCTCTCATCAAAAGAAGAAAAGGCTCAACTAAAACAAAAAAATGCTTGAAACATTATCCTCATTAAGCTTAGATGAAGAAGAAGAAGAAGAGAGCGAAGCCATTGTCAATCTTCAAGTTGTTCAAGATCCCTACGAAGGCGAAGAAGATATTGACTTCTCTCAATTTTAGCAATCACAAAAATCAACTATAGAAGAATTATAGAAGACGATTAATTATATAATGCAACAACGATCAACAAAAGAAGAATTGTAGAAGAAGATTAGGCATATTATGAGAAAATTAGAGGACGTGGCTTTTCACGTGCCAACCTTCTAAATAGTATCTTAGTAAGCAACTGGCTTATCAGGCCCTTTGTCCAATAGATGCTTTGGTCCCAGAGCATCCAAGTAAGTAGTTGGACTTATCTAGTCCTTCACGCCAAAAGATGCTTGGGTCCCACCCAGAAGAAAAACCAATCACTTATAATTATTTCATTTTGTCTTTAGTGTCGGTCGCTGAAAGTAAGGCGTGTCAAGTTATAATTACTTTTATTTTGTTGCTTGTGTTGGCTATCGAAAGTAAGGTGTGCCAGTTGTAAAAGTCGAATAGAGAATAGTTGACAAATTTGTCTATAAAAGAGTTTGTTAAAGTAAAAAGAGATACAAATCTTCCGAGTCTTAAACTCTATCCCCCTCAATCAACTCCTTCATAGCCTAAGTTCCCAAGTCTTCCCTTATCCTCGAATATCTTGAATATCTTGTAAGCTCTTTGAATATCTTGTAATAATATGAAGATTGATGATGGCTTCGCTCTCTTCTTCTTCATCTGAACCGAATGAGGATAATGCTTCGAGCATTTTTTGTTTTAATTGGGCATTTTCTTCTTTTGATGAGAGAATTTTGGATAAATCTATTATTCTTTTTCCTATTTCTTTTGTGGATGAGATTTCTTTTCGGATTGGGATTTTTTGTGTAATGAGGTTCATTTTCTTCTAGTGTTCAAATTTTTTTTCTACATATTGGGTTTCAAATTTTTTCCACCAAAAGACCTTAGTATTTAAGCAGAGGGTTTTGGGGTAGGTTTCTTCCTTGTGTTGATGTATTTTGGGAACATGGGCCAAGCGCCAGCTTATTCCCTTGGATGAATAAAATTTTATAATTCGTAGGTGTGGAGGGTAATAGGGGGTGAGGCTTATTATATTTTTAGTAAATCTTCATGATTTTTTCGACAATTATTGATTGGACTGGACCTATTTGATGGAACCAGTCAACAAAC